GTGACTCGCCCAACAACATAGAGAATTACCGAAACGCAGCAAGAAAATAAGAAAACGCAAAGCACGTGGCGCACCGGATCTTATTATATTTGGCCCTTCTCCCAACCCGTAGCCGCGCCCTGTTACGACTGCGTGGGCGATTCTCCTATAAAAGCCGGTCTTGGAGCGTCTAGCCGCCACAGTCTCTTCCTGTTTCCAGCGCAGCTGTTGTTGCTGGAACTGTAGTGGCCGCGAAGATGGCGTCTACCAGCCGGTTAGTAAGTCTGGCCGAGCCTGGCTAGCTGAGGGGCGGGCGGTGAGTGCCGGGGATTTCTAGGCCACTTGCGGGGCGGCCGCATCGGCCTCAGCCTCCCGAAGGTATGGGGAGTGGCTGCGGTACTGGCCGGCCGGCCGACCCGGACAAAGGCACTTCCAGACGGCTGGACTGTCAGGGGTGTCGCAGGGGGTACCGAGTCCTCGGTGTTACCGCCCCAGGGTCCTGGATTGTCTTCTCACACAGGTTCTGTCTTCTGTGTGTTCCTGTGTCCGCAGCCCCTGGCCTCGCGTCTTTTGCGAATATTTCCGCTTTTTTATCTTGTCAGTGTTTTTCTACGTTTGCTTTTCGATCTGTGGCCCATCCAACCCTAGGGTCCTAAATTCCTCCCTTCCAAAGAGCGGGAAGCGGATATTTCCAGGCCCCTATCGGTCTGACAGCTAAGAAAGTTGGGGACGTCAGCATTGGTCAACCAGATAGAAACTGATTACCATCCCAGTGGTCCTCCGAAAGTGGAAGCTAAGGCATTTCCGAAGAATTGATTAGTTTCCTGCTGAAGGATGTGTCTACAAATGTCGCTGTCTGCGTAGTCTTGAAAATCTTGCCTACAGAAAATTCTTTACGTATTCAGGGAAAGTAATATATTTTTAAAATGTAATGTACGCGTATCTACAGGAAATACATGCAATGTCCTTCGACACAGGCTTTAACCTTGTGACCTGAAAAATGCTTGCAGACCCTAATTATATTTCTCATTATCACCATGAGCTAGATATTAGTATTTTTGCGTATGTGTAAACTGAGTCATGCCAATGTTGATACCTTCCCCCCCCGCCAAGTTAGTGATAAATGTAGTGTTTAAAATAACCTGTTTCTATTACACAAAATTGGTCTCTATTTAACTCACAATGTACTAAAAGTAGCCAGGGTCTTCAGCTTCTGAAAGGAAGGCTTTGCACAATTTTTTTTTTTGGTTGGGGAGAGCCTCTTATCTGTGAAATTGATCAGTTTCACCCTTGAAAAGCATTGTTCACAAAATAGTAAGCTGAAGAAATCCTGGCTCTTTCTGTTCATTGCCAAGACTTACTATTTTATGTTTTTTTTTGTTGTTGTTTGTTTGTTTGTTTGTTTTGTTTTTTAAAGGGTAAGGTGGGGAGCAGCTTTAGCTAATGTCCTGTTTGGAAATAACTTAAAGCCAATGACACCCTTGTTTACTGATTCTAATTCTATGATTGAATGCTGATTCTGTCTGGGTGTGGTTCTTCAGGTAAAGCTTCCTTGTAGATAAATGGGAAACTTTAGCTTCCCTAAATTATCCAAATAGTACTTAAATTCTCTTAGTAGATCTGGTAGGGAATGTGGTCATATTTAGGCACAGTTTTTGTATACAATAGAGCGTGAAATTTTATTTGTAAAAATGGTACGGTAAATAGTACACATGGTAAATTCGTTGATTAGATTCTTTGCCTAAAGAACGCACTCTTTTGTCTTTATTTTCATTTAAAATAATTTTTGAAATTTTTTTCCTATATGTTCAGCTTTTAAATTTATGTGCCATTGCAGTTACTCATCTCTCAAGTTTTTCTGCTTGAGAAAGTGGAAAGTTGTACCTTTCTACAAAGAAATGTAAATGTTAGATTTCTAACTTTAGCATTTTTTTTGTTTCCCTGAGGAAAATATAGACTTATTTAGCTATGAAACTGCCTGGCATTTTTACAGAGAACACATTTGAGTTCAAAACTAGTCTCTACCACTTATTCTGTGACTTCAGGCAAATCTTTTCTGACCATAATCTTTAAATTGGAAATAGTGCCTATTTTGCAGGGCTCTTTTGAAGATTGATCATAATAAAATAAATAAATGTATAGCACTAGATACACAGTGAGCACCCAATACATGTTAGGTATAAAAAGAGATTTGGGATTATCTGATACCTTGGTAGTCTAAATTATTTAATGTCATTGGTGGTATTTTTACCATCCTTCCCTATTTCTCTTTATTCCTCTACTGCCTCATTCTTTTTTTTTTTTTTTTGGAGTGGGAACAGGGATTGAACTCAGGGGCACTCCACCACTGAGCCACATCCCCAGCCCTTTTTTCTATTTTATTTAGAGACAGGGTCTTACTGAGTTGCTTAGTGCCTTGGTTTTTTGCTGAGGCTGGTTTTGAACTCTTGATCCTCCTGCCTCAGCCTCCCCCAACTGCTGGGATTATAGGTGTACCTGGCTCTACTGCCTCATTCTTGATTCTCCTTTTACATTTGTGGGTAATTTAATTACAAGTTGACTGCTTTAGGATGATTTAATTTTATTTTGGATAGGTAACCTATGGAAAGCAAAAGTGCAGAAGACTTTATAGTAAAAAGGAGTCTTCCTCCTTCTCTACCTCCCAGCCATTTAATTCTCCCTATAACAGCCATCATTACCCGTTTCTTGGTGTTTTCCTATTGGTCATATTTTAACAAACATGTTTATAGTTTTAACCTCTCTTCCCCTCATAAAGTGGCCAATGTAAACCCCGTTTGCAACCTTGCTCTTTCCTTTTTTTATGAAGTTAGCACTCATATTGTAAGTATAGTTCAGTTATAAAGTGAGCATATACCACCCAGGTTAAGAAATCATGTACCACTAGGTGTGACACGACTGAAGTCTGTTTTGTGTCCTTAGTCATTGCTCCTTCCAAAAGAAAACCACATTCTGACTTCTAATACTGTAGATCTGTTTGCCCATTTTAAATCTTAAATACTATTTATTTTTTAGTTCTCAGTGGACACAACATCTTTATTTTATTTTTATGTGGTGCTGAGGATGGAACCCAGCGCCCTGCGCATGCCAGGCGAGCATGCTACAGCTTGAGCCACATCCCCAGCCCACATTTTACTTTCTTATTCCCATTCTTCCTTCTCTCTACCCTTCATCTAATCCAATGAACTTCTATTCTTTGTTGCTTTTAAATAGTTCATACTTTTTCAATTTTGTATAAAATTCCTACCTTATTCTTCACTTAACATGTCTTGAAGATGCGCACTTTTAGGTTTTCTGTGTATTTTAATAGTGCCAAAGTATTATACCAGACCCTTGCAGACTCTGTTCCATATAGCTTCCCATTTTATCGTTTGTAATGACTTTTATTCTGGTATCATTTTATTTGTTTTAACAATTTGACATGATTTATACCTACCTACTATTAACATAGTTTTCTAATAGAAATTTATGGAATAAGTACGAATATAAAGCAATTTCTACTTTATTTTCTCAGAAGATCCAAAATATGTTCTGGCTAGCTTAATTATATAAATGTGGGGTTATGGATGATGATCAGTTTTCCAGTTCACCTTCTACGATAATAGTTAACATTTTGAATTGAATTTGCTGTCATGAGGAACTTTATCCAACACTAGGAATACCTATTTACATACTATAAAAACAGTTGATTTTTGTCTTTTATTTTTTTATTTTATATATATATATATATATATTTGTTTATTTTTATGTGATGCTGAGGATTGAACCCAGGGCCTTGCTCGTGCAAGGCAAGCGCTTTACCAGTGAGCCACAACTCCAGCCCATGATTTTTGTCTTTTAGATGTACGATTATGGTAGCCATAACATACCAATTTATTGTATTATTTGAAGTGAATTTATAACAGGGGCTTCAGTGATAGCAAATATTTGTGATTGTGAGGTTTTACTTCCCAGAAATAATTATTAAATTTATGTTAAGTGTGTTTGTTGCTTTTGTTATTTTATTATTTTAAAAATGTATTTGTTCTTTTTAGATATACATGACAGTAGAGTGTATTTGACGTATTATGCATAAATGGAGTATAACTTATTTTAACTAGAATCCCATTCTTGTAGTTGTACATGATGTGGAGTTTTACTGGTCATGTATTCATATATGAACATAGGAAAGTTATGTCTGATTCATTTTACTGTCTTATTCCCATCCCTCTCTCTTCCCTTCATCTAATCCAATGAACTTCTTTCTTTGTTGCTTTTAAAGCTGATTTGTCAGATAATATAGGGTTTTCTTCCCAAAATTGCTTTCTTGCTCAAGATAAAATGATTGAGCAAATTATTAGTATCACAAGTCTGTTAGTTAGCTTAGCTTTGAAACCATTTCTTGAATGTTAAAAATTCAATTCTGGATTAGATGAAATCATCAAGTCTTAAGTTCAGCAGAACTGTACCTACCATCTTTCATTTATATTCCTATTGGGTTCTGTGTATGCTTCTAAATCTGTTACTAAGGTGACAAACAGAAAAACAGAGGTCTGAAATGTATTTTCTAATTGAAGAAATAAGTGGCAAGGGTACAAACCAGATGGTTATATATAAACACTGCAGGCTATTAATGGTAGCTAGTTGTTGTTATACTATTGATCAAGATTTTTAAAAATCTTAGTAGCTGGCTACTAAGAAACACTGGTTAAGAAACACTTGTTTTCAAGCTTTGAAAGCCTTCTATGTCTGCAAATCAGGAACTACTAAAATAAAGGTAATTCTAATGGAATTTACATGCTAATTACTAGATAAATTTGATCTTTGTATCATATAATCTAAATCAGATAGTACTATCTTCATTGATTAAAGTAACCTAAATGGAATGTATACTTTGAATATTTAGCTTAAATGTGCTGAAATTATAGTATTGGAAAAGTGTTCAAAGTCTTTTTTTCTCTCAGAAGACTATTTTGTTACATGTTGCTTGTGAGGATATAAAAATGTAATATTTTTCCATTTAGTTTGGATGCTCTTCCAAGAGTCACATGTCCAAACCATCCAGATGCAATTTTAGTGGAGGACTACAGAGCTGGTGATATGATCTGTCCTGAATGCGGTCTGGTTGTAGGTAAGTAGCTATTATGGTTTTAATAGAAATTACTTAGGATACTTTTTTTTTTTCCAAATTTTCTTCTCTTTTTTTAACTTTTCCCTCATAAGTAATTCATATTTTTTGAAAAAAAAATTAAGAGAAATAAGAGTAAAATAATTAAGAAGTATCATATTTTATTGTATAAACCAATGCATTTTTCATTGTGAGTGGGAGGTGATCAAAAAATGAAGTCTTTAATCTTAAATTTTTAGTGGGGGTTAAATGAGGGCATGACACTTAATGCATGTCAAAAACAAATAAATTAATCCAACACTTGTGGGTTTTATATACTTAGAAAGTAAATAAACATGATTTATTTCAGAGTAATAAGAGTGTATCTGTACTGAGTCTTATTCAGTGTCTTTTAGTTAACAAAAAAGATTTGTTATAACTTTTATTTGGAATCATACTTTAAACTAATATTGTTCAAATATTTCTTAAAATTTTACTTTTATTCCTATTATTTAGCTGATCTAGATATGCTGAAGAAATTTAGAGTAGTTATTTTTATGGTAGGCTTATGATGTAATACTGATCAATTTATTGATTTTGTTTTTTGTGTTATTTGGGATGGAAACCTGGGCCTTACCCATACTGGGCAACTCCTATACCACTAAGCTACATTTATAGTCCTCAGCAGTTCAGATTACTTGAGAATTAAAATGTTAGTAGGATTCTGAGAAGTATAACAGAAACTTTGGTAGAGATGTACTGTGGAATTGTCTTAAAGAATGTCTGTACTATTCATCAAAAAAAGCTACTTGCTTTAGTGGGAGTTTTAAAACATACAGAGTTGCTAATAGGAATTGGGATCATATGCAATTGTATTCTCAGTCAACAATATTAATGACTAATATATTGACATTAGACTAGATACTGTTCTAAATTATGTAGGTCTTCATTCAGTTTTTTTTTTTTTTTTAAATACCAATATCTTCAATTTGTGTGAAGTAAACACCAATATCTTCAATTTACAAATGAGGAAACAGGTTTAGGTAGTCTTGCTGTCTGGCTCCATAATGACATAGGAGCCAGATTTCTGTCCTGCATTAATAAAATTATTTCAATTTCAGAATGGCAAACATGAGTCAGCACCTGTTTTTTATATAGCCTGCATGCTAAAGGATGACTTTACTTTGGGTGGGGGGGCTGGTTATCAGGGATCGAATTCAGGGGCACTCAATTACCGAGCCATATTCCCAGACCTTTTTCACATTTTATTTAGAGACAGGGTCTCACTGAGTTGCTTAGCGCTTTGCTGTTGCTGAGACTGGCTGTAAACATCCATCCTCCTGCCTCAGCCTCTCAAGCTACTGGGATTACAGGAGTGTGCCCCTGCACCCAGCATGACTTTACATTTGTAAATGGTTGAGAAAAAAATAATATTCTTTTGGAACACAAGAAAAATAATATCAAATTCAAATTGCAGTATCCATAAATAAAGATTATTGGAACACAGCTACACTCACTTGCTTTCACATTATAATAGCAGTTTATTAGTTGCAGCAGAAATCATATGTGTTGCTCTCGTTACTTGTTTCAGCTACTCAGCACACAACAAATCACAACGATGCAGTTATAACTCAACAGTGTTTTGAGTGCCATGCATATTGCCATAATGCAACATTTATTTATTTGTATTACATTGCATACCCATCATGTCAAAACAAGAAAAGTGAACTATGAATGTCATGCTTTTAAGCCACAGTGGCATGTGAATTATTTTGTTATTGAGTTAAGATAACAATGCTTTGTGTTTATTACACAATGATACTGTGCCTGTGCTAAAAGACTTCAATGAACATAAACATTACCATGTAAAACATTTAATCACAATATTCTTAACTCAGGAAAACAATAGTCATGAAAAAAATATAAAATAGAATATTTGATTACAGTGGAATTTCTTCACAAAAATAAAAGAATAAAGGTGAGGCTGCAACTCAAGTAAGTCTTGAAAGGTTTGCTTTACTTGAAAGGCTAAGTAATAAAAACCATTTATTAATGATAAGTTAATTAATTTGTATTCGATTGCAACAGCTGAAGAAATGTGTCCAGAGAAAATAAATTTATTTAAGATTGTTAGCTTTGCAGCAAGAACGGTTGCTTAAAGAGTTGAGGACATTGATAAACAACTTTAGTGAAATCCTGTCTCTAAATACAAAAAACTGGGGATGTTGTTAGTGCTTAAGTGCCACTGGGTTCAATCCCTGGTATCAGAAATAAATAAATAAAGAATTGAGGACATTAAGAGCATCTCCAATAGTTAGTTAAAAATCAAGGCAAAAAAAATCAAGGCAAATTATTTCAAGTATATTTTCTTTGCTCATGGTGACTATACAGGTGTTACTAATACTGTTCAGTAGTTTATTCATGTCAATACGGAGTTTTTGACGTGACAAGAATTCATTTCCATGAGTTGTCTGCATGGAACAAATATAGGAGAAAATTTCAAAGAAGTTGTGAAAATACTAATTCAATACTACCCAATGGAATCTCCTAAGGTGTGTTGTACCTGATAGTGGTAAATGTATGTGTGGATCAGAAGACATATTTGGACAAAAATTTTAAAGATTATGAAAATGTAACATGCTTAAGGTCTGTGATTATTAATTATATTATTCATTAGCAGGTACTTTGTAGAAAAGATTTCAATCTGTTTTTTGTTAAACCAGTAGTGTTGACAGTTAACTTCATTCATTCTCATGGACTTAATAATTCTGCATATTTATTTTTTGTTAGAAATAGAATAGTATGTCCTAACTTGCCATACCACATACACAATTTAGTAGCTTATTAGTGACAAAGTTGCGCTATTTGTTTGAGTTCACGTCCAAGGTTGAAATCTTTCTGAATCATGCTGCATTCAATTACTGCTATTGAATATTCAGTGACTTTGGAAATTAGCTTTTGCTGTAAACTTACATGTTAATTTATAGATTAATATTATTGAATTCTACTTAGAATTGCAAGGAAAAACAGTGCTTATATATGAAACCTGTACTTAATAAAGTCAGTTTGATAATAGCTATCATCATTGGAATCAAAATAATGTCAAATTGCTTTTATATATTTCCAGTGCTGTCAAAAGTTAACACAAGAAGATGTTTCTTACCACACAGATTTGCAGCTGATATATTTTTTGAGCTCAAGCTATATTTTCAGCAGTGTTTGTCAGACATGGATGCAAATATAAAGGAGATATTTATGTTTCAAAATACATTTACCTATGTAGTTAAGAAACTTCTCTGACCTTAAATTGAAAAGATAATCACAATGGAGGCTGAAACAGGAGGATCTCAAGTTCCAGACCAACCTGGGCAACTCAGGAGATCTTGTCTCAAATTTTAAAAAGGACTAGAGATGGTAGAGCACTCTTAATAATGTGTGAGGGTTTAAGTTCAATTCCTAGTACCACAAAAAAGAAAAGAAAAAGCAATTAATGGACAGTATAACAACATACGAAAAGGAGAATACCAGAAGAATGTAATGAAATCCTATAAATGCCTTTTAAGCAATAAATATGCTCAATTAAAATTATATGCTCAATTATAAATATGCTCAATTAAAATCATCACTATTGATCAGTGCTTGAGAGGTGAACATTTGTGAGTGACTTTGATGACAGGAAACACTAACTTTGAACTCCAAGTAAGTAATGGTACCAACAAAAAATAATTTTCATTGGAAGATATGTATTAAAATAAATGTCACTCAATTGTTATATTTTAAATTTCATAAATAGTGAATTAGTGATTCTTCTTTTATATAAATGCCTGCATAATATCCTCAGTTTTGCCTTTTGACCCACAGAACCATATCTACTATATGGCCCTTTGTAGAAAATGTTTATTTATTAACCCTTGAGTTAAATTAGTACATTTGAATTCTCCAAAGTATTAATATAGAATCATTAATTTGTAAGAGTGAGAAAGAATTGAAATTGAAGATAATTTTGCTTCTTAACTCTCACTTCTGTAACTGTTTAAAAAGAAATAGTGCAAAAATGCTTCATTATAGTTCCAGCCTTTCATCAGCCTCACTTCCACTTCAACCAGCATGATAGTTGGATAAGGTTAATCAATTAGAGAAAGAAGATATAATTCATAAGTTTATATGCTTTCTTGTACTCATATTCCTCATTTTTACTTGCATTTTTCTGTTATACCAAGCTAAAGGAAATTATGTTTATTTTAGCTTTGCCTTGAAACTCCAGTACCAGAACTATATTTTATGTCAGCCTAAGCTATTAGGTAAAAATTTTAGGTCAGAAATTTAAAAAATGTAACAATATAAGATATTCTTTTTGTAACTTATAATTCTTATTCTTTCTTGTAATTTATAGCTGTATATCCTCATGATACTGGTTCTTCTGACATAAAATGTAACTGTTAAAATATGCAATAGGCTCTTTGTGATAAAATATGTGAAATGTCTTTCAAGTCAAGAATTTCTTCTGGGCTGGGGCTGTGGCTCAGTGGTAGAGCACCTGCCTTGCAGTATGAGGCACTGGATTCGATCCTCAATACCACATAAAAATAAATAAATAAAGATATTTTTTAAAAAAAGAATTTTTTCTATGACCAAATAAGGATAGGTGGAGAAGAGTTTACAAAGTTCTGTTTTACTGAGAATATTATCAAGCAAATTAAGTTGAATACAGTTTAATTGGAAATGACATTCAATGCATATACACACATATTGTCAATAATAAATTTAGATACTACCAATAAGCAATTGAACTTTTATCATTTCATGGTTTAAAGGCATATGTTCTTTGTTACCAATTCAATTCAGTCTTATACCTGTTATGCTAAGGAAACAGAAAATAAATCAAACTGGGCAAAACTTTTGCAACCTATTAAAGGTATAATATCTGGGCCTTTTTTCATATTTGAGATACTGATAGTCACAGGAATTTCAATCCAGACAACAATCATTTTCTTGTGTTAGTATACATGGTGTGATTGTCTTTG